CATCAGAAAAACCTCAGTAATATAGTCAGAATAGATTACTAACATCTTCAAACATAAAGGTCTCATGAGAAATTGATTTTCTAAAATCGGTGTGAAACCACTATTTTCCTAATCTTTGAAAAACAATCATTTTTCAAGGAAGAAGTTTAAAAATAATAACCGTGTATCTATAATATTTGTAAATACACCCGAGAAAAAATATTTATATATAATTATATAAATTGGTTATATATGATTAAATATGAAAAATGGCCAAATATAATTATATCTAATTATATATAACAATATTTAATTATAGATTTATTAGATCTAATTAATTATTGGGTTAATTTTATGGATAGAGTATTTAATATGGCCCTACGCAATTCTGTGTAACTGATCAAAATGCAAAAAAAATATCTAGATCTAATTTTATGGCTATAACACCAGCGGTCACCCATCCAACTATCAACCCTACTCAATGCTGCTTAACTTTGGTGATCTCCATGCGTCCTGAAGTTTCTGTCTGCTGTGCTGCTGTCTTAGACAATAATGATTCTATGATCTACTTAATGTATCATATGAGTTTATCATAAATATAAAATATAAAAATTAATTTTATAATATATTTGGATAGTCATAATTCATAATTTATTTATCTTACCGAATTTCATCATAATATAACACTTATTTAAATAATAAAATAAATAATGATTTTACTACTACGTAGTAGCAGAGTAGACAAAACATCTCATAGGAAATGTGACAAATTTTGTATTTCAGAATTATTTAAACGTAATTATAAACATCATTTTACACTTTTTGTGATTACCAAAAAAAATTTTTTTTTCAAACAAAAAATTTTTATAGTATGTTAATTATATATAAGCATATATAATTATATATGGGACTATGTACAATCTTGCATAGCTGTATATTGCTCCATATATAGTCATATATAATTATATATAATTTTATATACTTATATATATTTGTATATGGAACTATATATAATCCTGCATGGTTGTATATCGCTCCATATATAGTCATATATAATTATATATGATTATATATAACCTAATATACAATTTCATATATAATCATGTATGATTATATATAATTTTATATAATTCTATATAATTATATATGTGATTCCATATATAATCATATATGATCATATACAATTATATATGATTATATAGAAACATTTTTTCTCGGGTACTTTAGTTGATCTTTCATTCAAAATGACCTTGTATATTTATGTGACTGTTGTTAACAGATCATTTAATAATGGTCAGTTTCTACAATGACCGAAAAGTATAGATAGTCAAAATATAACGACCCAAGATTTTTTCTCCAATCAGATTCCTTCTTAGAGTAACTATTGTTTGAGGCCATCTATAAATACCTGGTGACTACAAAATTGTTCGTCCCTTTTGATCGTCCGAGGTATCTGTCTCGAGTATCACAGTGCTAATAACTTCCTGAGTAAACGAGTGCAATCAATAAATTGAGTGTTTTGGTTAAAACAATAATTCAGAGAAAAATGATAAGAAGGAAACGGCAGTACGTAAATAAATTCACTAAGGACCAACGTCTTTCCTTGAAAGAAACGTTTCAAATGAATCCGTATCCCAGTCTATTGATCAGAGAGGAAATTGCTGAATCAGTAGGTCTTACGAAGAAGCAAGTTAAAGAGTGGTTCAAGAAGCGTCGATGGAAAGAAAAGAAAAACAAGTCACTCCAGAACATCAACCAGATTCAGAACCGTCAAGTAGAAGAAATAAAAGAGGATTCGTACCAGAACGTCAACCCAAACCTAGAAGGAACAGTTTATAGTCAAGCTGAGCCGAAGTATGTGATTGATAGGTTATCGTATACCACCGATAACTCCGAGAATTGTAGTAGCTATCAAAATTATTTGAGTTTGTCTCATGCGGCATTATACTTGACGTACGATGCTATATTATAGAACTCATGCTAATCAAAAGAATTATAATTTTTAGTTGAATAAATTTTATCAAAATAAATTTTTTATGCTGCAATTGTAAATTTATGTAAAAATTAAATTACATTCTTGATCTTGTGTAATCGATAATTACCGTTTTAAATAAAATATTTGACATTACATTTTTTGTTATAAGTAATTAATTTATTTTATTGATAAATTTAAATGTTAAGAAGTATAAGCTAAAATGAATATATATTACAATTATAAAATTGTATGCCGTAAAATTGTAAAATTGAGAAACTTGAAAAGTAATCGAGGTTATTGACAAAGGGATGTTGTTAATTAGTTATTCTTCTATATTGTAAGATAACTTTTATTGTAGTATTAGTTTAAGTCATATAATTATAGCCTACAATTGATGGAATTCTAGGGTTAAATTTCCCATCAGTCACTATGGAATGCCCCTTGTACAACTTTTAAGTTCTGTAAACCGCATTATGATAGGTCAAGCCATTCAAAAGTTATAAAAGGTTTACACATGTAAACACATATTTACATCAGAAAAACTTTAGTAATATAGTCAGAATAGATTACTAACATCTTCAAACATGAAGGTCTGATGAGAAATTGATTTTCTGAAATCGGTGTGAAACCACTATTTTCCTAATCTTTAAAAGACAATGATTTTCAAAGAAAGAAGTTTAAAATAATAACCGTATCTATAATATTTGTAAATACTTTAGTTGATCTTTTATTCAAAATGACCTTGTATATTTACATAGCTGTTGTTAACAGATTATCTAATTATGGTCAGTTTCTACAATGACTGAAAAGTATAGATGGTCAAAATATAACGACCCAAGATTTTTCGCCAATCGGGTTCCTTCTTAGAGTAACTATTGTTTGAGGCCATCTATAAATACCTGGTGACTACAAAATTGTTCGTCCTTTCCGATCGTTCGAGGTATCTGCCTTGGGTATCACAGTGCTAATAACTTCCTGAGTGAACGAGTGTAATTAATAAATTGAGTGTTTTAGTTAAAACAACTAGGAGGAAAATAATAAGAACGAAACAACAGAAAATAACATTCACTAAGGCCCAACTTAATTTCTTAGAAGGAACGTTTAAAGTGTTTCCGTATCCCGTTAAATCAGAGAGAGTGCAAGTTGCTAAATCACTAGGGTGTGTTAAGGAGAAGCAAATTCGAGGTTGGTTCCATAGACGTCGAATGGAACAAATTTTTTTTTTTTTTATGAAAATAATTCTATATAATTGTATATAATTATATATGGCCATTTTTCGTATATAATTATGTATGAGTATATATAATTATATATAATCATTTTTACCTGGGCAATTTTAAAATTTGACCAGATCTGGTCAGATCTGATTATATCTGGCCAGATCTCGTCAGATAGAGACAATTTAAAGATCTGGCCGGATCTGTTTATATATGGCCAGATCTAATCCGTTTTTCCCGGGTTATAAGTTAAATTTTACAATAGTATAAGTTTTAGTCACATAATTATTTTATTTATTTTATTTATTCGATTCAAATGCCAGGGCATTAGCCAAATGGCAAAAATACAAAAATAAGTAATATAAAGTACATGTAAGAGTATATACAGGTCTATATAAACATATTGACAATATTTAAATTAGAGCAAATAATCAACTAATTACAATCAGTCAAAGTGAAATGAAATAAGAGTAACAAGGAAATTTAAAAATATAAGTGCTGTCAGATTAAGTTAGGTTTAATGCACTGTAAATTATACCAAATTTAACAACTTGAAGTTTCTTCAATGGTACCAGGTATTTGGCTCTCCTTGAGCTCAATGTCATGGAAGAATTTATAAGCTTTTGTCTTGAAGGTGTTAATACTAAGTGCATTGATGACATCAGGTGGTAATTATAGCTTTTAATTGACGGAATGTCCCTTGTACAACTTTTAAGTTTTGCAAACTGCATTTTGATAGGTCAAGCCATTCAAAAGTTATAGAAGGTTTACACATATAAACACATACGTACAACAGAAAATCCTCATTATATAGTCAGAATAAATTACTAACATCTTTAAACATGAAGGTCTGATGAGAAATTGATTTTCTAAAATCAGTGTGAAACCACTATTTACCTAATCTTTGAGAAACATCGATTTTCAAAGGAAGAAAACTCGATTTTTGCAAAACGGGGTGAAAACAATAACTTCCCGATTTTTGAAAATCTTCGATTTTCTTAGCGGGCAGTTAAAAATCATGAATATTGGCTTTTTTTTGAGCGCCGCAACCAACATGACCCCTTTCCCTTATATATTTTTACATAATATCTAAATATTGAATTAATTAATAAAATATTCACTTAATAAACATTTTGCAATCTCTTTTTTTTTATAACAGACTTAAGCCAATATGAATAGGTATACGATACATTCAGAGTAATAAAACCGCATCAGCAGTAAATTAAACCAATTCTTTATATCGAGTGACATTCAATGCATGTATAGTTAATTTTTTTTTAACAATTAAATAACACTTTTTACAATAAATATAAATTGTAATTTATAAAAAATAAGATTTTGTTTTTGATAAAAATAAACTAAGTAACAAAACAATAATCTCTTTTCATTTACAAGCGATAGCTTACACAAAAGATTATGTTTAAAAAAAAAGATAATTAAAACACACAAATAAAATTTATCCACATTAAACGATTTTAAAATCTAAAATTCCTATCTACTTTCACAAACTCGCTTTTCCGTATTCATTCTCAGACAATTTACAATGTGATTAATCTTTGATCAATGCTTGTTGTTGTTTACACTTTTAAGATAGCGCGAGAAGAATGCACGATTATAATAAAATCTCGTTAACTACCAACAAACTAAAGTAACTCGGAAGTAAACAAATTCAATAATGCAGTAATTTTATGAATAAACATTGTTATTTCTGGGTTGGCTTTCAAGTATATAAAGGACAGTTCCTTTAGTTTTTTATCTCATTTCTTCTTAAAGTCTTAAATTAGTAAAGACCAGTTAGTAAAATTTTGAATAATAAATACTAATCAGCAATGAAGAATAAAATTGTATTATTAACTATCATCCATCTTTTCGCATTAGTCTCAGCGATTCCCGCAGCAGGTGATGAAGAAAAAGGATGTCAAGGTATTTTTACAAACTATTTCTTCTGTTATTTGGAATCAAATAATTAGTAAAGAACAATAATCTTATATATAATTAAGAGAATAAGGAAAATATTCTCTCCGGTGTATTTTCTATAATAAAATGAGCTTTTTAAATTAAATTTAGTATCATTAGAAAGGTCTTGACCTGAATTAGTGTCTTTTAGATGTTTTATATGTTTTTCAGCAATAGTTCATTTATTATTAAGATAAATTTTCGAGGTAGTTCTAGATAAATTCGAATTACGCGATAAACAAAATTTATTTATTTTGTTTTGTATATATGAATGTAGTTAAAATTAAGAGACTAAGGGCCAGTTTCTCAATCCAGGATAAAATTTTTTTTATTAGATTGAAAAAAAAAATTTTTTTTTTTTATTAGAAAATTTGACAATTTTTTTTTTTCAATTAAATAAAAAAAATATAAAAAAAAATCAGCCCTGTCCGGGATGAGCGGGAATAGTTGTCAAATTGGTTGAAATATTAAAAAAAAAAAAAAAAATAACAAACTCTGACAAATAACGATTTTGCTAAAAAAAAAACTAATTATTTTATAGAATTGATCATATTTAATTTTTTTTGTATATTTTTTCGAAAAGTTCATTAAAAACAAAAATTAAAAAAAAAGGTACCCAAAGGTCAATGTCTAAAAAAGTTATGGCTATTTGAAAATAAAAAAGCCTTTTTTTTTTTTGAAAAGGGTAGAAAATAATAGGAAAGTTTCAGCTAAATCTAAAGAGGTCGGGTTCAAAAGTGGTCGATTTGGCATGGAATACCCCATATATATAAATATACTGGCAATAATAGTAATACTTTTATCCTGAATCAAAAAACTGGACCTAAGAAAAATTTTGTGACGGGTATATTAATATTTTGAAAGGAATTTTTGTAGTTTAATTTGGTATTATTAGAAAGGTCTTGATAAGAATTAGTGCCTTTTGATTTTATATATTTTTTAATAGTCAATTTTTTATGTCAAGTTTTTGGAGGACTTCTTAATAGTTTATTAGTTCTAAAAATTTGTTATGTTATATTTGTCCATTAAATTGTTTTTAATTGATTCTTTCATATCGATATAATCGAAAGAATGAGAAGAATTTTGTCTTGGGTGTATTTATATGATAAAATGAGTTTTTTAAATTAAATTTAGTATCATTAGAAAGGTCTTGATGTGAATTAGTGTCTTTTAGATATTTTATATACTTTTCAGCAATAGTTCATTTATTATGATAAGTTTTCAAGGTAGTTCTAGATAAATGAATGTGGTTGTAGGTCAAAAATTAATTTAAATAATTAAGAGACCAAGAAAAATTTTGTAACGGATATATCTTTATCGTAAATTGGATTTGATTTTTTTTTCAGCGATAGTCATTTATGATTTAAATAATTGAGGAAGTGAGGAAAATTTTGTGACGAGCATATTAATATTTTGAAAGGAATTTTTGTAGTTTAATTTGGTATCATCAGAAAGGTCTTGAGAAAAATTAATGCCTTTTGGTTATATATATATATATAGAGACTGCAAAAATTTGTTGATCACTTTGCTAAATTATGTACTGATAATGATATGAAACTTAATTATGATAAATGTGAAGTGTTAACTATTGCTAGGAATAAGTCACCGATAATTTTTAATCCACTCTTATAATTTAGATGAAAAATATGAAAATATACATTGATGAAGACATTTTATTCGTAACGTGATCGGTCAAACATATCATAAGCATGAAAATATAGATAATTCCATACCAACATTCACACGCGCGCTTGCGCGCGCAACGTATACTAGTTACACTATAAATAATGTTCTGGTTAAGCGTGTCCAGTCGCATGTAGATCTTGGAGTGACCATAGATTCTAAGTTTAATTTCTGCCTTCATATTGACAAAACTGAGTCGCAATCCTGGAAAACTCTAGGATTTGTAACTCGATCATGTAGGCTACTAAAATCTATTAAAACAATGAAATCGTTATACTGTTCGTTAGTCCGAGCCAAAATGGAGTACGCATCAATATTATGGTCCCCAAACTATGAAATTTATAGCAATAAACTAGATCGTATTCAGAAGAAATTCTTAAAGTTTCTCTGTTGGAAAATAGATGGTGTGTACCCGGACTATGGCTCTGACTATCGTAGTATGTGTAAAAGATTTAATTTGCTAGCTCTGAATGACAGACGTCTTTGTGCATCAGCTATATTTTTGTCGCGAATCATCACAGGACAAATTGACTGTGCGAGATTGTTGGAGGGAATCAATTTTAGAATACCTCCAAATAGACTTTGTCCTCCATTCTACTTGCCGAGTGTGAAAACTAATTTTGCTATGTCTGCGCCATTATATAGACTTATGTGTGCTGGAAATATATTTTATGAGTATGATAATAATATAGACCTGAATCAGGTTAAACATATAAGAACACTTGTTGATGCTATTGTAAATTCAATATATTAATATAATTATTGTAGGCTTAATTTTTGAAATATTGTCCGCCAACAATTTAACAATGTAATATTTTAATGTAATTGTTGTACATATGTACTAACTTATATTTTATCTGTGTGCAATTATTGTAAAGGAACTCTGTAATTGGCTCAAAGCTGTTGAGTTCATTATTCATAAATAAATAAAATAAATAAATAAATAAATATATGGCTATGTAACAGCATTACTTGACAAATTAGCAACTAAATGGCGTTAAATATGTTCAATTGTTATAATTATAATTATTATCATTATTGTTCTATTTTTTTTTCTTTTTATTTTTATTAATTGCTATTATTTTCTTGGGTTACAATTGCTAACACATCAATAGTCTTTTCATTTAGCAATTTAACTATTGAATTATTATACTAGCTACAAGTCATCTTGTTATAAAATTTTTATGTACTAACTATTGTAATTATTAACCCTGTTAATAATGACCTGAGCTGTTCGGTTTGTTTATTTAAATAAATAAATATATTTTGTAGGAGCCAATTTTTTGGAAGAGTTTTTTTTAATAGTTTGTTGGTTCTATAGACTTGTTCCGTCACATTTGTTCATTAAATTATTTTTAATTGATCCTGCGATAGCACTATTATTTTCAAAATTTATTTAAAAAGTACTTAAACTATGTATAGTGTCATAAATATAGAAAAAATCACTGAGCCAAAATTTTCTTATTCATAATTCGTAAATCTCGGAAGTCTCCTAGTGACCCGAGAATAAATATTTATATATAATTATATATATTTATTTATAAATAAATTGGTTATATATGAAAAATGGCCAAATATAATCATATCTAATTATATATAATTATGTATAATTATATATAATTATATATAACAATATTTAATTATAGATTTATTACATCTAATTAATTATTGGGTTAATTTTATGGATAGAGTATTTAATATGGTCCTACGCAATTCTGTGTAACTGATCAAAATGCAAAAAAAAATATCTAGATCTAATTTTATGGCTATAACACCAGCGGTCACCCATCCAACTATCAACCCTACTCAATGCTGCTTAACTTTGGTGATCTCCGTGCGTTTTGAAGTTTCTGTCTGCTGTGCTGGTGTCTTAGTCAATAATGATTCTATGATCTACTTAATGTATCATATGAGTTTATCATAAATATTTAATATAAAAATTGATTTTATAATATATTTGGATAGTCATAATTCATAATTTATTTATCTTACCGAATTTCATCATAATATAACACTTATTTAAATAATAAAATAAATATAACCTCATATACAATTTCATATATAATCATGTATGATTATATATAATCTTGCATGGCTGTGTATAGCTCCATATATAGTTATGTATAATTATATATGATTATATATAATCTTGCTTGGCTGTACATTGCTCTATATATAGTCATATATAATTGTATATGATTATAAATAACCTCATATACAATTTCATATATAATCATGTATGATTATATATAATCTTGCATGGCTGTGTATAGCTCCATATATAGTTATGTATAATTATATATGATTATATATAATCTTGCTTGGCTGTACATTGCTCTATATATAGTCATATATAATTGTATATGATTATAAATAACCTCATATACAATTTCATATATAATCATGTATGATTATATATAATCTTGCATGGCTGTGTATAGCTCCATATATAGTTATGTATAATTATATATGATTATATATAATCTTGCTTGGCTGTACATTGCTCTATATATAGTCATATATAATTGTATATGATTATAAATAACCTCATATACAATTTCATATATAATCATGTATGATTATATATAATCTTGCATGGCTGTGTATTGCTCCATATATAGTTATGTATAATTATATATGATTATATATAACCTAATATACAATTTCATATATATCATGTATGATTATATATAATTTTATATACTTATATATATTTGTATATGGAACTATATATAATTCTGCATGGTTGTATATCGCTCCATATATAGTCATATATAATTATATATGATTATATATAACCTAATATACAATTTCATATATAATCATGTATGATTATATATAATTTTATATAATTCTATATAATTATATATGTGGTTCCATATATAATCATATATGATCAAATACAATTATATATAATTATATAGAAAAATTTTTTCTCGGGGACTGCAGGTTGTTAGTTAAGAAAGTAAAGAAAATTTTGCCTCCGGAATATTTGTATGATAAAATGAGTTTTTAAAATTAAATTTATAATAATTGGAGAGGCCGAGACCTGAATTAGTGCCTTTTCAATTTTTCATATACTTTTCTAAAATTGTTAATTTATTATAAGTTTTCGGAGTAGTTAGAAATAGATTAGAATCGCGAAAAACAAAATTTGTTTATTTATTTATTTTGTTTCGTAAATGTCAATGTGATTATAAGTCAAAAATTAATTTATATAATTAACTCAGAGACTAAAAAAAATTTTGTAACGGGTATATCTTTACCGTAAATTGGGTTGGATATTTTTTTATGTTAATTTTTTGGAGGAGTTTTGAATAGTTTATTGATTCTGTCACATTTGTCCATTTAATTTTTTATAATTGATCCTTACTTAGCTCTATTATTTTTGAAATTTATTTAAAAAATACCCAAATTATGTATAGTACGATTAGAAATATCAAAAAATCATTAAGCCAAAAGTCTTCTTATTTATAATCCGTAAATCTCGACAGTTACATAGTAACTGCAAATTGCCAGTTAGTTTTATTAAAAGAAGAAATATTTAATATTTAATTATTTAATTACAGAACTGAATATATTCGATATTCCTATGGTAACTTGCTCATCAAAAGGTATAACCGTAAATTTTGAACAAAAGGGGATATTAGAAACAGAACTTGTCGTCAAAGACTACCTCGGGGACCCTAAGTGTGGAAAAAATTATACCGAAGGTGAAAACACAGGCTCTTTTTTCGTAGAATACGGTACTTGTGGCGTAGAAATGACAAACAAAACAGCTGAATTCACTTTGATGGTGCTGCGACCCCCAAGACAAATTCGTAAATCAGCCCAAACTCGTCTTATAAAATGTAAGTACCCGACAAAAGAAGGTGTGGCGAATAAGTCGTTCAAAGTCGGAGATCTTAGAACAGTGACAGACCTTCCATCAACAATCTTTTCCGATGAAGACCCAACTCATGAGTTAACAATTGTCGATCTTGATAATAAGCGTGTAGATAAAGCTGAACCGGGAGATCCACTAATTGGCAAACTTCGTGTTTCACCTAAATCTTACGTTGCCTCCATTAAAAATTGTTACCTCGCGCCGGACCGGGAAGAAAATTCTGAAAAATACCAAATCATTGATGAAAAAGGTTGCCCGGCAGATCCAGACGTCGGCGGATGGCATTGGAACTTAACAACACACTCCGTTCAGCTTCCTTTCAAGGCTTTCAGGTTATTAGATTGGAACGAAAATCATATCTTCTGTGAAGTTCATTACTGCATCAAAAAAAGCGATTGTGCACCTGTAAGTTGAATAATTTTTATTTATTTTAATTTTGGTGGTAATAATAATAATAATAATATACTTTTTTTTTTTTTTACAGCCAAGTGATTGTCCGAATATACCCAAGCCGTGCAGAGGACCAAAACCGTAAAATATTATATATAAGTCAATTATATTAAATAATATAATTTTATAAATTTAAACTCATATCGCGTGCCTAATGCCAAAAGGGCGTATAAAAAAACTTTTTTTGCCATTCCTTTTAGAATCGCTCGAAACGCAAGGATCTGCAGAAAAAAAATTTTTGACGTACTAACTTAAGATATACGCTCTTTTGGCTTTAGGAAATTATCGGTCTAAAGCCAAAAGAGCGTATAAAAAAAATCAGGATTTTTCATAATTTCGAACAACAGTCTTCAAAATTGTTCGGAGAACAATAGTAGTAAATTCAAATTTTCATCATTTTGGACAGTCCAATGATTAAAGAAGCATATGAATTAAAAATTTTTCGCGTACTAAAATTTTATATTTTTTTATAAATTTCCTTCTTATTCGTTGCATAAAATTGTAGTTCAAATCCATAATATGTATATATAGAATGAAAAACATCTTATTATAAGTAAGAAATTATTAACTAATCGTTAAAAAATTTTTTGAGCTGAGTATAGCTGAATATAGATCTGATGAAAACTCTATTTTCAAAAAACGGGATAAAATCAATAACTTCCCGCTTTTAGAAAATTTTTAATTTTCTTAACGGGAAGTTAAAAATTATCCGCCCTTTTGGCATTAGGCACGCAATATTTTTTTTAATCTCTTTATGAAAAATTATTTTACTAAAGTTTTTCTATAATACAGTAGAACCTCTTTAACTCGAACTCCAAGGGAGAGGCAAAAAAATTTGAGTTATAGAGGATTTCGACTTAGGCGGATTTTGATTCGACATAAAGAGGTTGAGATTCATTCTTATAAATTTTGAGTTAGAGGGGTAAAATAAGTAAAAATTCAAGTTTTAAATTTTAAATTCGTAGTAACGTGAGTCATAAATTCGGGTAATTTTCTTCAAAATGGTATTCTTGGTTCAAGATTTTGTCTCTTGAGTCAAGTTAATTTTTTTATGTGTGTACTTACACTGTCGGCATACCAACAATTCTTGAAGGTATTTTAAGTCTCAAATAATCGAGTTGTAAAGGTTGTAAAATAAAACATTGCTATATTCAAGATACAAAGGTAAAATTAAATTTTTCAAGTTAGCTTGAAGGCACACACTAATTATTTCGACTTATAATTTGATTGTTATAAAAATTTTGAAATTTATCAGATGTCTGTTAATTTCAGTATCATAAAAAATATATCTGTAAAAATAGACGTAAAATAACGTTAATTTTTTGTTACATGTTTTATTTTTCTGTCAATATACAAATGAATTTCACTAATATTAATTATATTATAATTATGTTTTTTCTTCATGGATACGTAATAAATACAAAGTATCCCAATATAACATTTATTATTGTTTATTTTATTGTTTTATATAATTAGAAATAGAAAAAACTTGATTTATTATTCTTAATTATTAATATTATTATAATTATTATTATTAAGATTGTTTTTGTTTTAATAAATTAAGTAAAAACAAATAAAATGAATTATTATTTATTATTTGTGTGTTATTTAATGTGTCATGTCACTCGCTCACTTTTATTCACTTTCATGCTCAATTATTATTTATATAATTCACATAAATTTGTAATGCATCGAATTGTTATTTATTTAGCTATTATTATTTTTAAATATTTATTAATGACTCTAATGTGGGCGTTTTATTTAATTATTTATTTTAATTGATTTTTACTGCCGAAATGTTTTTTTTTTTTTTAATTTTTTATCAACTCGTATTTTTTAATTCGTCATTTCCTCTTAATTTTGTTGATCAATTTTATAATGTGGCTCACTTAACTAATTGCTACACGCCACACTGCACACATAACTACTAACATACGAATTTGTGTGCATATGTATACATATATATTAATATATACATATAACACAGTTTTATACAATGCATCATGAAGTAATGACCTAAGTACACACATACAATCATGTTCATTGCACTTTATTGTATTAAATTGCTGTTTGGTTCACACGAATCATGTCAATGACTTTTTTATTTGTTATATTTTTTTCCTTTTATTTTGTGTGTACCGCAAATTACTTTATTTTTACTCCACAATGCAATGCAGCTCTACTACACTCTAGAGTCTATACAGCACGACGCTAATCGCCGTTACAATTTGGGACATTTGTTTTTTTTATTATTGTTATTTTAATTATTTTATTCGCTGCAAAGGGAAACAATCGAAATACTCATGTGTCTTGATTGAAGTATATAAATAAAAATGATAAATTGTGCCTTGATTCTAATTTCTCGTTATTTTAGTAATATATATTTTTTTTTTTTTTTTTTTTTTTTTTTTTATTATTTTTCCTTTCTTAATTCAGATGGTATAAAAAAATTTGCTGCTGCTGATTTCGCTGCTGCGGGGCAGTGGGACAATGAGTCATATTATTCCTTGTTTATATTTCGCTGTTACCTATTTTTATTCATCAGTTAATAATTATTATTATTGTTGTTTAAATTAATATTTAATAAAGGGCGCTAGTTGCCGTTTGTTGGATCACGCTCCGCTCCGTAGATTTTACCAGCTTTTCGAGCCATGTTGCCCAACATCTCCATTGAAGATTTGTGTGCTGATCTTAACGATAATGCCCATTCTTTCAAACTAATTTCATCCTGTAATTAAATTAAAAATTTTATTAATAATTATTCTAGCAACCTTGCAGTCACTATGTGACTGCCGTGACTTGTCAACTATAAATAAATAAAATTTTGCTTTATTAAATAATGACTTTTATTAAATTGCACTGTACTTTCTTAAATATTGACGTTTTTAAAGATATAAGCTCATTCCGATGTTACACTCATCAAGAGCTTTCATTTGAGTACCCACATGCATTTTGGTATATTTTTCATATATACGGGGCATTCCACGCCAAATCAACCACTTTTGACCCTGACCCCTTTTGATTTGGCTGAAAGTTTACCATCCTTTTCTACCCTATCAAAAACGTCTCTCATAATTTTTTCAAATTTTTTTACCCAACCAAAAAAAAGTTCCGAATTTTTCAAAAAAACCGCTTTTTTATTTTTAAATTGCCATAACTTTTTCAAAAATTGGCTTATCGGGACGTTTTTTTTTTCAAAATTTTTGTTATTAAATGCTCTTTTTGGAAAAAAATATAAAAAAATTATTCAAAGCTATCTTCATCGTTATTTTTAAAATTTATAGAAAAAAATCCGAATTTTTTGATGAATACCATTTGGTATTCTTAGTGGTATTTTCTTGGTATTCTCACATTTTTTAACAAATATAAATAATGCTGTGAAGCGGGAAAGAATAGAAGTTACGGATAATTATTACGTGAAGCGTAAT